TTTCAGTTTAGTTTGATTAGATAGTTTAATTTGATTAAATAGTTTAGTTCAATTATGTAGTTTACAGTTTAATTACATATTTTATAGGTTAACTGTATTGTTTATAGTTTGATTATATAGATTACAGTACGATTATACAGTTTACAGTTTAACTTTATAGTTTACAGTTTAACTTTATAGTTCGCAGTTTAACTTCATAGTTCGCAGTTTAATCATATAGTTTACAGTTTAATTACATACCTTACAATTATATTTTACAGTTTAACTTTATAGTTTACAGTTTGATTTCATATTTTGCATTTTAATTATAAAGTTTACAATTTAACCACATACCTTACAATCCAATTTTACAATTTACAGCATAACTACACCTCTACAGCCAACAGCTACGACCCAAAATGTCCCCGAGAACCATCCACCTTGTTACCTTCACCCCCAAACGAGAACCGAGAAAGCTAACGAGCGAACACCTTTCTCCACCTGTTGAGCGGAAGCCGACGTCAGCGGTGCATGAAGTCGACGTGCCATCCTTCAAGAGCGCCTTCACGCCCCAGCTGCCTTACTAGGAGTCGTCGATTCCCTTTCAGCGGGCGGGCGGGATGCGCTGTGGGGCGAGGAGAGGGAGAGGTAGGGTGAGGAGGAGAGGAGGAGAGAGGGAGAGGCAGAGGAGAGGAGAGGAGAGGCAGGTTGAGGACAGGAGGAGAGGAGGAGAGGCAGGCGAGGAGAGGAGAGGAGAGGCAGGACGAGGAGAGGAGAGGAGAGGAGAGGAGAGAGAGGAGAGGGAGAGGCAGACGAGGAGAGAGGAGAGGAGGAGAGGAGAGGAGAGGAGAGCCCGGCGAGGCTCCGTAACGATCTGAAATTGATCTCCGTCGGGGATTCTTCGTGTTAGGTTTCGGGAAGGAGTCTTGGGGGATGCTGGTGATTGTGTTTTTTCTTTTCTCTTTCTTTTTCTCTCTTCTCTCTTTCTTTCTTTTTTTCTCTCTTTCTTTCTCTCTCTCTCTTTCTCTTCTTTTTTTCTTTTTTTTTTTTTTTCTTTTCTCTCTCGTCTCTTTCTCTGTTTCCTTCTTTATCTCTCTCTGTCATTTTTTCTCTTTCTTTCTCTCTTCCCTCTCTCCCTCTCTCTCTCTCTCTCACTCTCTCTCTCTCTCTCTCTCTCTCTCTCTCTCTCTCTCTCTCTCTCTCTCTCTCCTCTCTCTCTCTCTCTCTCTTCTCTCTTCTTCTTTTTTCTCTTTCTTTTTCTCTCTCTGCCTCTTTCTCTGTCTCTTTCTTCTTCTCTCTCTGTCCCTTTCTCTTTTCTCCTCTCTCTCTCTCTCTCTTCTCTTTCTCTTTCTCTTTTCTCTGTCTCCCTCTCTCTCTCTCTCTCTCTCTCTCTCTCTCTCTCTCTCTCTCTCTCTCTCTTCTCTCTTCCTCTCTCTCTCTCTCTCTCTCTCTCTCTCTCTCTCTCTCTGAAAAGTTTTTTTTTTTTTTTTTTTTTTGGGGGGGCGGTTCTCTGTCTGTTCAAATAAGCAAACGATTTGTTTTATTGTCCGGCTTTTGATGTGCATATTTACAAGTCATAGATCGTTACTTCACCGTCCGTCTGTTTGGATCTGCACTCGTGTGTTGTTCCTTTACATGTGTACGTGTGTATGCATGTGTCTTATGACCGCTGACAGTTGTTGTTTTTTTATACATTTAAGCCATATTGTTCACCCTTTAATTATTTATTCTTGTGTCTAATCTACTCATAACACCTCGAGTCACTATCTATCATATCTATTTAATATGTCACCCAGTCGGTAAATCGATCGTGGTTCCTCTCTCCAAAATTCTCTTTATACCGAAAACCGCACAAACAACCCTGGAAATTGAAAAGTCTGCCGAACCTGACCTCCTGTGATGATGTTGGGTGACCTGTGACCTTAGATGGAATTTCACGTTCTTGCTTTCAGTTCTCTCTCTCTCTCTCTCTCTCTCTCTTCCTTCTCCTTCTTTCTATTTCCCTCTTCGCATTTCTCTTCCTCTTTCCTTCTCCGCATTCTCCTCCTTCTCTTTCCTTCCCTTTTCACTTTCTCTTTCCCTCCCCGCGTTTCTCTTCCACCTTCTCTTTCTCTTTCCCT